TGAAAGAAAAGCGCTCGAGGGGGAAACCGTTTTCATAAAAGGCGACCCGTTTTATTATATGCAGCCCGGGCGTTATTCCAATGGAGAACGGACAACTTTCTACGTAGAAGGGTGAAAAAAATAAGGACGACTGTATTTTCTTTCTTACACTTCTTTTCTCTTCGCTCTTTCATTCTTTCTTTTATTTTATCCCTATTTCATTTTTTTTTATTTTTTCTCCTTATTATTTTTCTTTCTTCTTCGATCACGATGATAGCGTAGAGTTGACATTTTGAAAGCATTTTTCGAGGGTCAACCGTAGGATCAACGAAAGACCGTTACATGCTATTACTGCTCGAAAAAATGATATGTCTACATCCATTCGAGTAGAGTTTTTTCTTCCTCCGTAATATTGGTATCAATCTTGACAGAATTATGTGAAAAGAGAGACGTCATTTAGTTAACCTGACATTAAATAAAACAGACTTTGATCTAAAAGTTTTGTAGACATTGGAACTTTGTTGATCATCTTTTTCTATCAAGTCTATCTCCTACAATTCTTTTTCCTCGTTCGAATTTTAGTTTACATGTAGAGATAACGCGATTATTTAGTTCACCGTATTAATATACGGGTCCCTCGCGACTAATTAAAAAACCAATGCTCTAGATGATACTTTTATTCGTTAATCGAACGAAAAAACAATGCAAATATTGTACCTTCGATGGTTACGCATATGACGATCACTTGATTATTCGTAAAAGATAATAAATGCGAGCGAATTGGGAAGTGGTGGGAGAAAGATCGGAGAAGGTACAGAAGCAAAGAGAGAAACGTTTCTTCTTCGTCCGATGCGGATGTCTGGTAAAACGGGAGACAGTGTCGTAATTACGCGATTCCCGTGGGATTGCCAAGCTCGCTCGCTTGTTTCGAGGGTGAATGTAGCTTAAACGAGGGTGTGCACGATTCCAAGTCACGCAGTCAATTTTTAATTGATTCCTACCAATCTAACCTAAGCAAAATTTTCCCTTTTTATTCAATAAAAGCACCCACATATTTATTGATTTTTGCGTCTGACAAATACCACCTACATATATTCTATTTCGAATTTTACATGCCATTTTCATTCTCGATAAGCAACGAGCACGTATTTGATGTGTCAAATTTGCGACCAAGAAATAAGAAAAAAGCTCTTGTATATATATTAGCATCGTATATAAGACAAAATACATCTAACGTGAGTAATTATTGAAATATTATTAATAAGAGAAAGTACCGTTAAGAAAGAGGATATAAAACATTGCAAAAGCAATGAGATATATAAAAAAATGTATAATACCTGTAGTAGGCACATCTAGACTCATCTTGTCGGAAGCAGAGAAGAATGACAACTGAGAAGGAAAGGGGTAGAGATTAAACTCATCGAAACAACGGTTTCTCGGTCATACAATGTTTTGTTTATACATTCGTTACCCCTCGGCCCATGAAAGCATTCGATTATTGTCGTCTTTATTCTTTTAAACATTTCTTTGTCGAACTTGTAAACACATTGATGTTCGTAAAATTTTTCGTATTTATTGTTAGTCATTCGAGTGTCGAAAAAGTAATGACGATATTAGATAAGTATCAGATTTATTTCGCGTATCGCGTGCGTGTTTTGTTGGTTGCAAATAAATGCATATATGTCGAGTGTGTGTACTACTACTGAACATGTATGTGCATACGTATATGTGCAGCGTTAAGTGAGTGCGGAACTTTAGATTTTATAATTCACAAATATGAGATTGATATTTGATCCGTCTTTAAAGTCTCCTTTTCTTTCTACAACAATTTGTTCTTATCTTTCCTTGTACTTTAGAAAGCAATGTTTTATATGATTTAATCTACGGATCAAATCTCAATTTCATACGTTAACTACTCGCCTCTTGCAAATTCATATATTACCAAATTAAAGTACGTAATTCTGCCTTCTTTCATATTTAAACAGGTCAGTATAGTTATTTGAGAATTTAATTAGTCATTTCACGAATTAACGGATTTCACAAAATAACGCAACCATATATATATATTATATAACGCATACCTAAATACATACATATAAGCGGACTAATGCGAACAATGGTATCCAGGTATTCAGTAAACAATACGTTCGGCACGATTCAGAGAGCAACGTTCACCGGTGCTTTCGCGCAATTCTGCCGTCCGCTTTTGCAACAATAATTCATCAGGCAACGTTCGCACGAGCCTGACAGCTTTTCCCCCGACGGCTGCACGTGCACCCCCGCCTGCGTTTTATACGCTTTGGAAAATGTTTTATGGTCGTAGCCTGATTGTACAGTCATCATCCTTCTCTTTCCATCAACGGTGTCCGCCCTTTCTCTTCATTCTTCGCTCTTCGCGATAGCCATCCTTTATATTTCTCTAGACTCCAGCTTTTTTCTTATCGTTATTATTGCCCAATACTATTGTAGTTATCTATCGTTTTCATCTTCTTCTAAATACAACTTACTTTATATATAGACTCGCTTTGCAAGTACAACGAAATAAATTAGTTAGGAAAAGCAGCACTTTTCGGTTTCCTTGATCTCTGTCTGGGCTGCTTGTTTAATTAAGAAGGAAAAAAAGCGGGAGAAAAAAAATACATCGTGATTGCATTAACTTCATTATGCGGTCGAGCGAGTTTGTTTCCTTTACTTACATATTTCTTTTTTCCAGTCGGTGGAGATAGCTCGCGTAATATGCAATAACAACCATGGACCTTTCGCGTTTTACCAGTGCATACTTACTTACATATGTACGCAAGTCAGTATATAAGTATGTAATGGTCTCGTGTATGATCGTTAGGTAGATCGTAGAAGGTAGGAAGGGTAGAAATTTTTATATTAAAACAAAATTGTAACTAGGAAAAGAATTTTAGACGGTGTTTGAATTGATAAATTCATGCCGACTCAAAGATATATGAGAGAAGAAAGAGGAAAACTTGATCGCGAAGGTTGACCAACGGAGGAGTATCCCTACAGCTCGATGAGCTAGAAAGGCAGACACGATGCGTCCAATATACAATATACAAATGTTTTTATATACAATGTCATCCTTCTCGTCCTCTTCCTTTTTACTTACTCTTCTATCTTTCGTTACCAACAATATCCTACACCCACCTTGCAAGCATTTTCACGCCTTCGATGCTTACCTTCGCACACCTTCGTCATTAATTCTCCAAAATTGTCAATTTACGCAAATCGTTTTCCTTTTTTTGATTGAGTCACGTACTGTTTGCTTTTGCTCTTTAAAAGAGAGGCATCGCGAAACAACAGGTAAATCGTTCAGCATAGTACTAGTAGGGGTAGTGATAGTGGTAGTGGTGGTAGTGGTAGTGATAGTAGTAGCAGTGTAGTAGTAGCAATAGTAGTAGTAGTAGACTCCTTGTACTTCAGAAGTTGTTTTCTAACAAATAAAAGAAAAGACGAAGAGACGAAGATTTACTTGCGAGACGATCTAAAGATTCTGAAAATATCACTTTCTTGGCATGGCTAGAACAAAGCGGCCGAGTCCACAATTATATAGGACAATACCGCGAAATGGTAGCGTAACAAAAGGAGGAAAAAAGGGCTAGGGTTTACTCGTTCGCTCGACCGTCGACTAGAAAGAGGAAGAGCGTAGAAACGCGGGCCATTGTTTCCGGTAGCAGGTGTTATTTCGCGAATGGTACTGTTATCGTGCATTCTCTGGCAGAGTCGTGCATTTCGCGCAAAAAGAAAGAGAAAGGAAAAGGTAAAGAGAAAGGTAAAGGGAAAGAGAGGGTGCAGAGGGCAGTATACGTGGTTTATTCAGAGGTGGTCATGCGCTATGTTCAAAGGGCCATTACGAAAATGACCATTAAAATAAATTACTCTCATCGTGGCATAGGACTCGACGACGTCCTTCCATTCCCTCCAGTTCTCTTCCTCTACGTTCCGGCCGATGCAGTCTGCAGCGAATACGTGACGCAGCAAATAGTCGGTCGTACGAATCAATTTACGTAAATAATAGAGAGCACGGATGTGCTGTGTGGTTCTTGAAAATTCAATGTCCAGTTCTAAGTGCCGGTATTGATTAACATTTTCTCTGCTATATTAAAGCATGTATTAACGTAGTAGGACTTTGAAGTACCTTGAGATATCAATCGGTGACTTTGCTCAACGATGATTTCTCGATTTATTGAATTCAATTGAGTTACGTATAATTGAGCTGGGTCGAGAATATGCGTCGATAAACGCACAGACACAGGGATGAAAGGGCTAGGAGTGCGCTCGCAGATGCTCTCGAAGTCTACGGAGTATAAGATCTTTATAATATGATTCACATTTATGCATTACTACTGTCTCCGCATTAATAGATGCGATATATGCACGCCCTTTGTTTTTCTTTAACGCGAGAGTACGCCGCGACTATTAACGATCGGCTGTTTCAACCAATTAGGATGACTTCCATTTTCAGTAAAACTCTACTATATTATACGAGAAATTGATCGGCAACACCTATCAGGTAAAAGTCCCAGCCTCTTTTTCCGTCGAATAAATTGACTTAGGAAACCGATAAATTCCATTTGTCCTCTTTTATAATAAAGAGAACAAAAGGAAGAATATACTTAGAAAAGTTAGGCAAACGCAGCAGCGTGGGATAAAAGTGCGCCGGTACATCGGAATCCTTTTTCCTCCCGATTCAGCAAATATTGACGTTTGCGAATTGAAATTTGCATGGACAGCGAAATTGGGAAAATATTTCCGCTCGTAAAGGAAGAAGGCAGCGGCCTTTCCCTCCTTTATTTTTTCCCTTTCCCGTACCCGGGAGAATAGCACTGACCGAGGAAACTGCGCGCTCCTAAATTTAATATGACGCGTCTTTGGATCGATTTCTTCTTTCTTCTTTCTTCTTTCTTTTCTTTGCGTCCCTCGAGTCGAACTTTATCGACGAAGAGCAAAAAACGAAAGGAAGAGAGAAGACGAAGTTCGAAGTGACGGAGAGGTTTGTGTGTGTGTTTCAGGGTCCGGTCGGGGAGGTGGGCGGCGTTAGGCTGCCACTGCAATCCTTACATGGATACGGGTCCGTGTTCATGTACTCGTCGTTAACGAGTCCCGGCGGTGGTGGCGGCCAGGCTGCTGGAGGCGGGGGCGAAGTCACCCTCCGCCTCCGCGAACCGGAGGACATACCGGAGGAGGTGCTCGCTCGTCTCGAGGACACTGCCACCCTTTCCATCTCCCTTCAAGGCGATGCGGTCCTGAGGCTAGGGCCGGCTGCCGCAGGTGAGAGTCTCTCTCTCTTCGCTCAATTCGAAAGACAGTAATCGCTAAATATATCCATTCGACTATCCGACTCCTTCTTGCTTTCCTTGCTTATATTTCTTATGATATACGGATTAACGCGGATTGCTCATTTTAATTACTTCCGACCATTTTCAACTTTAGTCTAACAATCAAATCTACCGAAAGCGAACGTGCTCGTCGAAGGACGATCGAGCGTTAACTTCCGGACGATTTGTCGGAGCAAAACCACCGACGATCTGGCTCTAGCATTTGCTACGATAAATCCCGGATTTATTTCCATAAATTTCATTTTTTCTCTCCGTTTTTTTCTTTCTTTTTCTTTTGCTATCCTTCGCAACACCAAAGGCAAGTCTTCAAGAGAGTCCCTTCCTCTTTTCTCCTTTTGGTCTCGCATCGTATTCTTTTAAGGTCTCGATGGGATCCACAGAAATATCTTTTCCTTTCTTTCAAGCTAAAAAAAATTTATCGCAGTTGCGGCTTGCTTGGTACAAACTCCAAAGAGAGATTTAAATGAAAAAACAATGAATCCTGGCTCGATCTTGAAATTGTCATACTCGGATGCGCGAAACAACGCTTTCATGGTTGCGAAGGAATGTACCAACCTAGATTTCCTATTTCAATTTTTATCCTACTACTTGAGCATAAATATCTCTGAAGCTGCGAAAAGAAAATGTCCACGTGCTCTCCGTTCGATAGGAAAGAAATAAGTAAAAAAAAAAAAAATAGAAAAAAGAAAGAAATAAGAAAGAGACGGAAAGAAGAGGAAGGGGTATGCACATACGAAACTTCTTATGTAGAAAACTTTGCGGAGGAAGCAATTCTCGTTATAACTTGGAAACTGTGGAAACTTAAACTGCCGCGAGTCGAAGATTCTGAGAGGGGGAAAGGTGAACGTTTTGGCCGTTTTCCAACGCGGGACAATCGTTTGTTCTTTTCGTAGCTTCGTTTTCTTTCTTTCTTTCCCTCTTTAGCTACGCCTTTAACAAAAGACCACTCTTCTTTTTACCATTTTTTTTTGATCGAATCTAACTAGCCTCACCTTTCGTCCTCCTTGTACTTTACCGTCAAATAATTCCAACTTGGACGACGCAATAATCGAATTGAACTTGTTATATTTCTCGTTGCTCTACTTATACTCGTAGACATTTTTTTATTGTTTTTTTTTTTTTTTCATAGTTTTTATATGATTTTCCAGGAAAAGTTTAACAAGGAGAGAAATACATGGCAGTTATAATCCTTGCTCGATCGCATCTCATTTTGTAAAGGCCGTTCTCAAACGAGCACGGTTCAGCCGTAGTTCCCGAGACATTAGGGCCATTATCCTGGTGTCACGTACTTAAGAACGGGTTGAAGGACTCGTAGACCCGGCTACGTGTGCGCAAGTCGAACACAAAGTTCCAGCATCGACCTTATCGCTATTACCATCATCACCACCGGCGTCGTTCGCATCGTCGGTTTCCATTCTCTCCGTAAAAGGAATAAGGGTGAAGCTCGATGCTCGGAATGTGCAACGCTAGCCGAGAGTCTCGCGGAAAAGCTGCAGATGAATCTCTATGTTTTTTGGGGTGGGGAGAGAGAGGTAGAGAGAGAAGGACGTAAAACGCAAAGCTTAAACCCCGACGACTATGCGCGCGCACGAACTTACTCGCTCTTGTTCTTCGTTAAAGCCGTTTACGTTTTACGAGCGGTCGAGTCACTAATTTCCCTCCTTCACTATCAACTTTCTTACCTTCCTTCCGCTCGAGAGGAAAATACTTATTCTATGATAGATCTTTGCATTGAAATAATATACGGATAACGCGTTAAAACGTATTGGATTCTTTTTTTCCTATTCAACAAAGTTGCTTATTTAACAAGAATACATTTGTTAATATCCATGTGATTTCCAACGAATTCCATGGAAAAAATGATACTAGAGGCGTAACAAACGCTCTCCCTCTTTTGGTAGATCGAAAGTAATGAAGGACGCGTTTCCTGAAAGCAAACAAGTAGTGACCCGTGTATCTGACATCGTCCTTTTACTGTCGATCTTGATGCTTTTTCATCGGGGTTAAACGGAAAAAGATCAAAGGCAGAGGAACGTGCACGCGTTTGCTTCCCACCAACACCTTAAGCGTATTCCACCTATAACCGCACTGATGCATTTTGCATTGACTTTGTAATTGTAAATTTTCCCTTGCACCATACTTTCTATCGCGTGCTCTACAATATCCTATCAAATCTTCTATAGAAGCAGCAGTAGGTATTGAAAACGATTTCCGATCGCGATCGCACTTATTTCTTCTCGGGTCTTTGAATTTTATCTTCCTACGCGAAAAATGTTGTTTGTTCGATAGAAATTCCAAAGAAATGAGACAATTTTATTTTCTTGGGAAGATTTTATAAGGATAAATCTTGTTTAATTCTCGAATAAATACCTATCTACGTGATAGATATATGTATGTATATTGTCGTGTGATTTTTCGTAATACAAATGGATTTGTTATCTATTGGAAGAACGTCCGAAGCGATTTCTTCCAGCGGTGAGCATAGACACGCGCGCAAACGTTTCTAACGAGACCTTAGCGTTTCGTATAACGACATTGGGGCTCTCGCATTCGTATTTACCGTTGGTGAGTTCTCATGAGACTCGTACGGAACTGGCTATAACCTGCGGCGGCATGGTCGCACAGCCGGTATGTAGCTGTGTATAGAACGTATAGATAGTCTCGATTCGTCTAGACTACATTTACTAGCATGATATCAAGTCACGTTGCCTGTCATAGAGGCTATTATAGTATAGCGGCTACCATAGGGGGCAACTGCCTCCGCTTTCCTGCCAGCCTGGGCTACCTGCTAAAACAGGAGAGGTGTGTTCGGCACATATTTACTTCGGGTTTACCGCGATATTGCCATACAACCGAGGATACGGATATTCATTTGTCTCTTTACCCTTTCTCTTTCTCTCTTTCTATCTATCTTCGAATTGTAAAGTCGAGAATCATTTCCATTTCATCTATCGATAACGCTCAAACTTTTCTAATCGATCTTCTTTACTTTTATCTTTACGTCTCTGGAGAGATATCAAATACTTTTGAACAAAAATGATATCGCTATCGACAAAAGTGTGCGTTCAAATTTAAAGCTTTCTTTATTACGAATATAGAGAACGAATAGCAAATTGGTTCAATATTATTATTGGAAATACTTCATATGATTTATGAATTAGGAACCGATGCCTTATTACCGATTCGAGGAAATCCTTTTACGTCTGACGAGTTTCTCCGTACTAGATGTTAAACGTTCGAATCAATATTAATGGGCGTGGTTCTGGGAAAATAGTTCAATCCTTTCCGTTTATTTAATCTAGATATCGAATCTTGACTAAACTTTCAAAAGGACTGTCGCTAATTAAAGCACAGAATTCTTTTAAAAATGTGCAAGGTACTCTCCGTAACGTTGTTTATCGGCGCGTAGATGTAACTTTCTTTATAATGGCAAATTCATAATTCGCTTTATTTGAAAACCTATGACACGGTCGAATGAAGCAAGATAAAAATGATTACGATTAGAAAGTATTTTCGAAGCATGCGACGCGACGTTGTAAGGTTGGTATAGAACTTTGAAACGATGATATAAAGCTCGAGCGTATAATTATCAAGCGAGGATGTTATGAAGCAAGCACGGTGGTTTAAATTTGAACTAACTCGGCTCGGAAGAAATTCGCGGTTCTTGGACAAAGCTATTCGCGGTATTAAGCCATTAGACCGCAACGAGAGTTGATTAAGTGTGCTAGCCGAGGTTGCGACCAAATCTATGACAAACGACAAGAAAGAAACACGAGGGACACGGGTGGTTGGCTCTGCTGTTTCAGACTTTGCCTTTCAAATCCGACAAAAAGAGACCTAACTTTCCTCTTCCCTTTTCTCTTTCTCTCTCGCTATCTCTGTCCTCGATTTTCCAGCGTCTGATTCGCGATATTTGCAAAGACTTACAAACTTTTTCTCAACGCCGCACGACGTTTCAATAGAAAATTAGATAGACGTCCTCCTTATTATCAAGAATTATGAGCATCGATTGTGAAAAATTAGGAAAGGAGGAGATCCGATCGAATTTATATCTTATAATTTCTCGTTAACGTTGTAGAGGAGAAACAAAATTCATTTAATATCGCTTTGTTGTTGTTCCTATTGACGATGCGGCTTTGTAATATTACTAATAATTTTTAATGATGAAATTTAACAGGGAACTTGGACATGAAAGAAGTAGAACTATGTTTGATTTAGTTGGACGTTTCGTCCCTTTATTGGGACT